CTATATCTCATAGTATACACCTATTGGTCAAAGTAAGTCACATTGTGACCACAGCAAGTTTGTGGGGCAAATCTTCCATATATAACATCACATATACACACATATATCCTTTTATAACATCCCCAAAAGAAAATGCAACTCGGAGATAAGGCAGTATTAATATTAATGAAATAATTTCAAAAAGTGATGAGTAAATGAAGTTGTGTTGGTGTTATTAACACCTGTGCATCTGGATACCAATGATATGGATCACATTTTCAACTTAACTGAATTTATTCTTTCCCTGTTGCCTTATTATCTTTGGAGTGCATTGCTAATTTTGTAGTGATATTGTATCTATATTTTACTTTTACTTATATTAGTTCTGTCCAATTTTCTCATTGTTTCCATTCTCTTTAATTACATAGGCATCTTTTCATAGAGAGGACCATACCAGGAAGCCATCTCTACTCTCTGCATTGTGGAATACATTTAAGTCTTCCCTGATTCAAGTTGCTTTGTTCAAAATGTTTGCTGATATTTTGTCCTTCACTAGCCCAATCATAATGAAGTAAGTTGAAAGCTTATTGTTTTTTCTTTATTTTCTCCTCACAGGTAAATACTAAGCAAATATTCCACTATAAAATTTCCCCTAGAAAAGAGTAGGAAAGTTTCTTTTTTTGTGAATTTTATTTATTATATGAACACTGTGTTGGGATTATCTGTGCTGTGAATATAAATTGTGATACTATAGTCAGTGTTTACTGAGGCCAACAATGTAGTAAGTGATGCTATAAAATCTTTGTATTAGTGGTATTGTCAGAGTTGTCTGGAGAAACAGACCAAATAGACAGACAGATTTATAAGAGGGGAATTAATTATGAGAATTGGCTCATGAAATTATGGAAACCAAGAAATTTCCACAATCTGGGAAGCCAATATGTAATTCAGTACAAGTCTAAAGACCTTGAGAACCTGGAAGTAAGACACTCAAGGACAGGAAATGGGAATTATAGTAATTTTTACTCAGAAAACAAGACAAACTTGCCCTTTTCTCATTTTTGTTTTTTATCTAGGCCACCAATTAACTGGATGACACACTAGGCCTTCCAATATCAGTCTACTAACTAAAATGCTAATCTCTTCTAGGAACTCCCTCATGGAAAATTGTACTATCAGCTATCTGGGTATTCCTTCACCAAATCAAGTTAAAGCATGAAATGAAAGTTCTATTAATTAGCTTACTTAACCTTTACAACATCCAACAAGGAAGTAGCATGTATTTTTACACCTAGAATTACAATATAGAAACAGAAAGGTTTAACTAATTTGCCTAGTCCACATAGCTAAAAACTACCAGGGTAATGATTGAACTCTTGAAAAATAGTTTGAATGTATGTTTATAAAATGCAGTGATAGATGCTTTTGATATTTGTTTTTAGCTGTGGTCTTTTGAGAATTCAACTTTATCAACCAAGGTACTAATATATAATGACTATGTCATTATATATGATTATTATTAATATGTAATAATAATATATAGTAGTGATGTATATACACACACACACACACATATATATATATATATATACATCACTACTAATTAACATGTACATATTTGTAGATATATCTTTGTATATATATTTTTCTCGAAGATTTTTTTATAATATCTATCTTAAAGCATTTCTATAATATCTGCCTACAAGGGATTAAAGGCAATGAACTTGAAGCCTTGATTGTGTACCACATTTTTAAAGGAGTAATTACCTTACTTCTGTTATTTGAAGAAAACATTTATTATTAACCTGTTATTTTATTTTAGCATTGAAGATACATAGTTTTTCAAATTAGTTAGAGTTTTTAAAAACAATTTAGTCATTTAATTCATGAAAATATAATTAATCATGAGTTACCTAAATTTCAGATAATTTCCAGGAGCATATTTATCCAATATTAATTAAGTATCTATTATATGCCAAACACTGTTCTAAGTAGACTATAGGGATAGAACAAAAATCAAAACAAAATTCCATTCTGACACTTAGGATGATTTGAGAATAAACAAATTAATAAACATAAACAATATTTAGAAATCATCAGTGCTTAGGAAAGTAGAAGAACAAAGCCAAATGAGGGACTGTAAATTTCTATTTGATTTATTAGGTGATTGAAGATGACATTGGTGATAAGGTGACATTTGAGCAAAGTCCTGAAAGAAGTTAGAAAGTTAACCAAGACAATATCTGTTGTAATTTGAGGTTACATAAAGGGAAAAGGTAAGAGCTAAGGACATAGTTTGTTATCTTTGAGGGCTTGTAAGGTGACAAGTGACACTGGAGCAGAAGAAGGCTGAGAGGAAAAGTGATAAGATTAAGGTCAGAAAGGCTCAGAGTGAGTCAGGAGATCTTGAAGGGCCTTTGTGAAAAGATGATGGAGAGAGTTAGAAGAGAGGCCGTAGGAAGATTTCAAGGGCAGAAAGTGATTAGACTCAAGTTTTTCTGTGATCGCTCTGGCTACTGTGTGGAGAATCATGTAAGGAATAGGAAGAGGATCAGAAGGAACACCAGTTAAGTGTCCATTGATGTGATGCAGGCAAAAGTGAGTGGTGGCTTCAAATAGGCTGTGGTGATGAAAGTGATAAAAAGTGGTCAGAGTCTGGCTCTGGTTTAGAAGTGGAGACAAAAGAGGACACACTGATGGTTAGAATGTAGGTTGAGGGAGGAGGAGAGGTATCAAGAATGCCTTCAGAGTATTTTTTTTAAAACTTGAGTCAGAAGGTAACAAAGTCACTGTGTATTATGAATACTCAGGAAAGACTAGAATAGGGAATTGAGTTTGCTTTAGGACTTTTTAAATTTGAAATATCTATTAACCATTGTGCAAGAAAGAATTGACATAGCAGGCCTGACTATGCACTCCAGAAGGCGTGCTTGTGGGAGTGGTCTGTTTCTGACATCTGGAGCTGAGATTTCAAGAGGGTTCTCACTACCTGGACAGATAGAAAGTGATTCAATTATATTAAAACTGTTGTTATAGTTAATTGTGCCAAATACCTTCTGTCCTTCTAAGAGTCTAGAATTTTGATATGGGTTAAGAAAAAGGAAAAATATTGGACCAACCACCCTACATACTGATTTTCTACCAAATTTGCATGGTAGAAAATATTTCACACTAGTATTAGTTGCTGGGGGAATTAAGTGTGTTCTTTGTGATTTTGCTGAAAGAGAAAAAGGAACTTTGGAAACTTGTGCCTGTTTTCCCCTGGACTTCAACTCATGCACATTTTTTTCTCATTGCTGATTTTGCTTTGTATTCTTTCACCATAATAAATCAGCTGTGTTTATGACTGTATGCCAAGTGCTGTAAGTTCTCCTAATGAATCATTGAATGGTCTTGGGTATTCCTGACACAGCAATTTAGATTAAAAGGTTGAGTAAGCAACTCTCTATACAAGTCTGGAATAGGGAAAGGTGGAGGCACCAGTGATTAAACTGGGATTATTCTGAATTGAACTGGGGTGGGGGTCCAGCCACTGTTCTGGATGAGGCTATGTTAGCATACATGTCGAGAAGTAAAGATGTCCATGGACAAAGCCATCAGCTATTCCAATGCGTACAGTTGGTGAAGATGAAGAAATCTATCAGAGGATATTGAGAACAACGAATGACTAGTGTAGAAAGTAGAGAACCAAGAAAGAATGGTGTTAATATTGTGTGCGTGTACACAAATGTGTAACAGCGAATCCTATCAATATATACAACTGTAATACACCAATAAAAAAATAAAGAAATAAAAAAATATAAATAAAAGAAAGAAAGAATGGCATCAGGAAGCCCAAGAAGAAGGTGTGCATTGCTATCAGAAAACTGTTCCTCACCTCAGTATATGCCAAGAGTGATCCTACAGTTTCCTTGTGTGTGAAGAGAAAGTTACTTATCACAGGCGTTTAGCACCATCTTCTTCCTCTCCTGCCCTGCTTTGGTTATCTAATGTGGCAAAATCAGCCATGTCAAAACTTAATGACATAACACAGAAGTTTCATTAATCTCATAATTTGGAGGGTCAGAACTTCAGGCAAGTATTGTTTTTCTCTACTTCACAGCTCAGTGTCTTGAACAGCTGGACAAATGGAGATGTTATGTCTGGTGCCCTGGTTCTGGGTGTTGGCTGGGTGACCTTGTTTCTTCTCCCTCTTTGCTGGTACTGGAATATCCCAGATAGCTGCCTTACCTTCCTAACTCAGATACCTGGGCTAAGATGGCTGGGAATGGCCAGTTATCCATCTCTTTCTTCCCATTTACCAATGACTTCTGCTCAAGAAAGTCATTAGAGAATCTCACTATGGCCACAGTCTCTCCTAAAATAATAATGTGTTATAGCATGTCAGTGTCTCTGTATTCTCCCAAAATTTATACTATGAAAGAAGGCCTGTGAGATAGAGAATGTTCTAATTTTGTGACACATTCTTGCAACACACGTACTTGACCACACTTGCAAAACAGAAATTTTAATATTGCATTGAAATGAGTCAGCCTTTGTCCCTGCCTAGACAACAGGCTCCTCCAGGGGTTATTCACCCTTCAGCCACTGCCATAAACCTGGCACATACAGCCCCAACACATTCCCTGAATTGCATACTGAATACATGGACATCAGCAAAGTTACACTTTCCCCAGAGATTCTCATTCTACAGTAACTGAATAACCTTAAAATTTCTACACTGAGGAGCAACTCAGTAATCAGAAAGAATGAGTTTTTATGAGTTTGCATGAATATGATTTAGACTCAGCAGAGCTGAATTTATGAGCTAGTTTTGAGATATATATATATATATTTTTGTTGATAAGGAAGAGTTAAGGAGAGGACTATTTTTAAAGATGAGGGCACTCTGTCATATGATTATGACACATATGTGTGACCCAGCATAGAAAATAATGCTTTTGTTAATTTTCTAGTAGAAGAGATGTTTTTCTCTTTGGATTATTGTACTTTCTCTTTATCCCTCTTTATGGAATTTATTCTAACATCAGCCAAACATAAAATGAATGTTTATATCTAATATCACAAATAGTTTTATGGATTTTACCATATCTGGAGCACAGATTATTTTTAATATTTCATAATTAATGTGTAGAATCTGTGTGGTACCTGGTGATAAACATTTAGTTTTTTTGGTTTTTATGAAAAAAAATCAAAAGGTTAATGAGAGCTATGTTTATAATAGGAATACTAGAGCTCTTCTTTCAGGGAATCTTACTCAGAGACCCAAAAGGCATTTTGTTAAATTGCCTTGCAAAAATAATTTATTGTTCTAGTAGATGGCACCCAATAGATATCAGTTAAGAAATTCAGCTAAGAGGTCAGTTAAGAAATCCCATTATTAGTATGTCCCTCTGGGAAATGGAATAATTTAATAATGTCACTGAGAATATATAATGCCCCAAATAATTTTCAAGAAGTTTTAATATTAGTTTTAGAGACACACATACACATATATACATATATATTATTCTAAAAGCTGATTTTAATAGCGTTAATATTTGAAGTCCTTGGTTTATAAAGCAATTTGAGCAACACATCCACTAGCAGTTCAAACTGTCAATATAAGAGATCAACTCTTAGAAATTTATTTTTATCTGCCACCTTAATTGTTAAGCTATATAAAGAGTGACTTTTTAAATTTATTATTCTTTTAGAAATATTTAGATATGATTTTACCTAATTACATATGCTTTATTTTTCTGGTTATATAACTTACAAATTCATTCAAGATAGCTATTGGATGATAAAGACCATTTTTGTAACTCCTGAGTTCACAATGAAAATAATATATTTATACAACTTCTAACCTTATGCATTTTACCTATGAATTATAAGGGACCACTTAAATAAACCAAGAACTGTGGGTCTGCAAAATAAATGATGTACTAATTGATACTATCTCATTCTATACGCCCATGTTGTTTTCACAGTTATGTGGAATATATGTAGTCTTTTAAAGTTATTATCTTTAGTCATGTAGATTCTATAAAACAGGGTAAGACCACATATAAATGTTATCAACAGTGGACATAAGCCACTCTGAATCTTAATCAATATTTACAACTGAAAGACAAAAGCCAATCAAGATAGTTACAAGATAGTTACGATTAGAACTGTCCCCACTGTTTCACTATCTCCTTGGCAGTAATGATCATGACTAAGTTTTGGTCACAATCAAACTTGAGAAAGTGAGAAAATGTAGAGAAGAGAAAAACTGGATATGGATAAAAGTAACAATAAAAGATGAGACATAAACCAAGTCTTTAATACAGGTATCTGTGGCTGGGCATGGTGGTGCATGCCCTTGATTCTGGAAAATCAGGAGGCTGAGGAAGAAGGATCACAAGTTTGAGGTCCTATCTCAAAATAAAAAGAAATAAAGATGTTGTGCAGTAGTAAAGGGGCTCTGCCAAATAATAAATAAATAAATAATATTACCAAAAATAAATAAACAAATAAATAAGACATCTGTGTTTCATCCTAAAATACCACTTCTTGAGTTCCAATTTTCATGTTTTCCTACATTTGGCAAAATGCATCATTTTGAAGAAAATAAAAGTTTGCTTTTTAATGTATCTGTCTCAACATTCTGATGAAGTCATATTAGAAGAGTTAATTATTTGATGATATTATCATATGAAAACCAGAAAATAACCTCATACCCACCTGCCTGTGATAGTAATTGATGATTTTATTTACTTTGTCATCTAATGCATGAGTTTAAAAAACAAAGAAAGAGAAGGACACCAAATTGAGCAGATACAGAAGAACATACAGGTGTGTGTGTGTGTGTGTGTGTGTGTGTGTGTGTGGTGTTAACAATACTTAACTCTCACAAGCATTTAACCACTTCAGGTAAATAACATTTCTTCCCTTTTCTCAATTTTTATGACATCCAGGCAAATGATCATTTTCTGTGAAAACACCCCAGATTCCAACTGGACTGGTTATGGTTATGCAGTTGCACTTTTTGCTGTAGCCTTTTCCCAAACCTTGATCCTTCAGCAGTATCAACGTTTTAGCTTGCTCACCTCAGCAAAAATAAAAACAGCTGTAACTGGACTGATCTACAAAAAGGTAAAAATATTCAAGGATTTCCCAACTTTAAGTGGATTGCTCTCTTGTTATGCTTTGCAATAATGGAACTGGGAAAGTAGTGGAATATATTAAAAAGTGCTTAAAGTGTCCTTTACATGAACATTTGTTTTACTCCAATACAGAACTGACTCATCAATCTGGTTGCATTAATTTCCCTAGGGGATTCTCTCCCTCTCCCTATTGTCCTAAAACTTCTAGACAGCCTTCAACTGGGAAACTAAATGGTTTCTTTGTCTACTGTTATGTCACTTAACTCCTCCTCCAAAAGCAAATGGAATTGAATGTTTTCCTGATTGTATATCTGAGCATCCATAAAATTTCTTCTTTTCACTGTAATTCTTTCTACTTTTGTCTGACTCCACTGCTCACCTTTTTTTAATGCAACAAATCCATCCTGCTTTGTGCAATAATTGCTTCCCTCTCTTTGATCCTAAGTTTCATTCCTCAGACTTAAAGTTTGATTTGTCCTCTTTAGAAAATACTGTTTTAAACACCACCTTGTTTCTATACAGAGCCTTTTATTTATATCATAATTATCAACAATTAAAGAGTTTCCTCCCTCCCCTAGTTATCAGCCATTTATTCAATCAGCGGTTGTGTTTTGTTCTTTCTTTGTGCTCCTCCTGTAAATTCTGGGTGCTTCAAGATCTGGAACAGAAATGCATCTGCCTGTTGTGTCCTTATCATCTAAGATATGATTTTTTAATATTTTTATAAATGTTGGATGGCTCAGTAAATAAATAAATAAATAAATGAACAAAGAAGCCTTCAAGAAATTGGAAAGAAATGTTAGCATACATAGTATGTGGAACTAAATGGATCAAATAAGCAGAAAATCTACAAGGGTTGTATATAGTTAAGGAAATTTTCACACCAAGTCTTGGAAGAGTCTTTTAGAAACCTATCGAACTTGTATAAGTAAAAGGAAGCATTAGAATTTAGACTGAGCTGGCCAACAGGCATTATAGGCTATTTCATCCTTTTGGGTCAAATGGGGACATAGAGAGGTTTTAGACAACCTAAAATAACCCAGGACCCATTGAATCAATAAATGTTAAATGAACTTGTAGCAGAGCTATATAGTTCAGCCCAAAACTGGGGTCAGAGAGACTGTCCTATCATAATTCCAGAGGAATCCAAACATGCAGGAGAGATACAAAAGAATCTAGGAGCTGTTTAAATGCTGCCGCTTGACTTTTGATGTACAGTCTCTACAGAACAGGATTTTATTCAGTGACTAAAGCCTAAGTGTTTAGATGTGGGTTGTGAGTAGATTTACAAGCATAAAAGTATCAACTTCCCTGAAAGAGCAGAAGCAAAAGTGGGTGGATTTATAAGCATAAAAGGCAGAGCTCAGAAAAGTTTTAGGCAACGAAGCTGCTCTTTATGACACTATCCTGGTGACTGTGTCACACATTTGTCCTAGCCCATAGCATATACAACACAAGATTGAAATCTAATGTAAACTATGGGCTTTGGTGATAATGATGTGTCAGAGTGTGTTCATTAGTCACACCTCATGTCCTACTCCAGAAATGTTGATAATAGGGGAGGCCATGCCTGTGTGGGGAGAGACACTCTATCAGAACTACCTTCTTCTCAGTTTTGCTGTGAACCTAACATTTCTCTAAAAATAGTCTTTAATTGAAGGGGAGTGCAGTAGAAATCTCTCTCCTTGGGGTTAATTGGAATAGATAAATTTCCTTTCTTCTTTACAGGATTTGGGATTGTGATTTATTTCATATTTAGATATCTTCAAGTGACTGTCCTAGCAGACCCCAGATGACCTATTTAACTTGAAACTGGATCTATTTCATTAGGATCTTGTTAATAGAGTTGAGTAAAGCTGGTCTCAGATCCTTTGCTTGACAAAAAGTGGAGCTGGCAGGACTCACTTGTTCTGTGTCATTCACATAACTATGCTTTATTTGAAATATAGTTCAGGGAATATTATTTTTAGGTTCTCAGTGAAGAACATGAGTCTCCTTACATTGGTCACTTTAAGAATCTATGGGTCTCTAAACTCAGATTTTTTTTTTTTATTCTTTGGTTTATAGGTGCGGGTTCCATGAGAATTCATAAAGACTCAGAAAAAGATATGACTCAAAAGCAGCATCAATTAGTCCTGGGCTTAGTGTGGGCACTCGGGGTGTATTCCTTCATTAAACACCGTCCAATAGAAATTTCTGTGTTTCTAAAATTGTTCTACATTTACACTGTGCAATATGGTAGCTACTAGTCACATATGGATGTCGAAGATTTGAAAGTGACTGTTAGTATAACTTAGTATAACTAAGGAAGTGAATTTTTAATTTTAATTAATTTAACTTTAAATTTGCTAACCATACCTGGTTAGTGGCTACCATTTTGGAAAGTACAATATTTAGAATGTCTCCCTGTGTAACTTAAAGTTTTTATCTTACTTTATTTATAGAAGTTATAAAATACAAATAAAACTGATAAAATTTAGTTGCACTCTGTAAAGTAGAGGTATTGCATTTAAGGGTGGAAAGAAGAAGAGAGCCACAATCCAAACCCTGCACTTTGAGTCAAGAGAATCCTGGCATAGTTGTTGGAATATAAAGGAACGGAAGAAGAACAAATTCCCATAAATGTTAAGGTTAAACTTTTAAGTTCATGCCTCATACTTGCATTTGAAGGTCATGGGAATATAGAGCCCTTTCAGCTTTGCATGATATGTATGGCTTCCAGCTAGCAAAGTCAGAAAAAGTTTCATGGTCAATATACAAATGTGGGTCAGTAGGATGAATGTCATGAGGTAAAGTCTTTTATGTAGCAATAGCATGAAAGAAAGGTGGAAACAAATATAAGACTTACTCAGAAAATGGTTAAGTAGGTTAATTTGGGTTGACACTTTTCCTATATAGTATGATGGGGAGAGATAATATGGACAGAAAGAAGGGATTGTTTGTTGAAACAAGATTGAAGAACCTTGAAGACTATATTGTGAAAATGTATTTGCATTATATAAGAACTTAGGATGCAGTTGAACCACAGGGGGATACTCGAAACAAAAAGATTTAAAACAGATAGGGTAGAGAGAAGAAAAACCATAGAACTATTGCAATAGTTAAAGATTTGAAGAAGGGCCTTGGCAATGGATACAGCAAAAAACAGTACAGGGAGAGGTGAAATTGCAAAACAAATTTTATCATAAATGGATAAAATTAAATAATAGTGAATTGAACTCATCGATAATGAAGATATTTCCAGTTAGTTAGGAGGGGTTTGGGAAGCTTAAAACTCTATCTAGTTTATCTGGATCATCTTCTATTGTAATAATAGGTGGAATAAATGAAGTTTTGGAAGAGATGAGCCACACAATTATGCCTGTGTGTGTGTGTGTGTGTGTGTGTGTGTGTGTGTGTGTGTGTGTATG